AGAATATTTTACCCTGTTCCTTGAAAATAATAAAACAAATTAAACATTTGTGCCGTGTACTAATCGTAAGTTTATCGATTAGAAATTATTTCTATATTATTCTTAAATAAAAAGGAACTCTACTGACGACCAAACTGAAAATGAAAAAAGGAATGGGACTCTACTGACGAGCAAAACTAAAAATAAAATTCAAAAAGACTCTACTGATGATTCAATTCAAAATTAAAGTTAAAGGGACTATACTGACGAGCATACTGAAAGGGACTCTACTGACGAGCATACTAAAAATAAAATTAAAAAGGGACTCTACTGACGACTGATTAAAAATAAAGGAAAAACAAACTCTACTGATAATTAAATTAAAAGTGGAAAAAAATGGGACTCTACTGACGACTAATTAAAAATAAAAGAAAAATAAACTCTACTGATAATTAAATTAAAAATGAAAGAAAATGGAACTCTACTGACGAGCAAAATAAAAATAAAATTCAAAGAGACTCTACTGATAATTAAATTAAAAATTAAAGAAAAATTGACTCTACTAACGAGCAATCTAAAAATAACATTAAAAAGGGACTCTACTGACGAGCAAAACTAAAAATAAAAGAAAAATAAACTCTCCTGATAATAAAAATTAAAAATAGAAGAAAAATGGACTCTACTGACGAGCAATCTACAAATAACATTAAAAAAGGACTCAACTGACGAGCAAAACTAAAAATAAAATGAAAAATGGACTTGTAGTTTCTATAAAACTTTGAAGTTATTAAAATGGAAAATATTTTATAGGCAAGGCAGATATTACAGCTGTTCAAAGAATGAGATTATATCGCCAGCGAAAAAGTAAAAAAAAAGTACCAGCAGTCAATGAATGTATGTTAATTTTAATTGCACGAAGTTCTTCAAACACAATTATTACATGATGAATGAAGTTGCAAAAACAATATTTGTTTAGGCGTTCCTTAACATAATCCACTGTGTGAACGAATATTATAGAATTTATTAATCAGCAATTACTTCGATCATTTCTCTAATAAAGATTCAAGCCCTAAATGCTAATTACAGTGACAAACCGATCATGTCATATTTGAAGTATGACTTTAGTTGCATTATTGTTTTTAAATATTATACATATTTTTAACGCTTATAAATATATAATTTATTATTTATTACCTCAGAATGGTATCGTAATGAGGATCCTCAGTCAACAATTCATGGCAATCCGCCGAAGACAATCCTTTGAGCTGAAATGCTGATTTCATCCTGAATTGCTCGTAATACTGGTCGTACTTGTGATGATCGTGATCGTGTAAATTGTCGCTTCTTGGTTTTCCGTGATTTTGGGGATCATCAGAAAACCTAAAAATTGCATGCTAATGACGGAGCTACTCAACAATCGAAATTCTACTTAATTTCAAACCAACAAATCATCAAATGACAATTCCACGTCAGTGCCAGGACTCGAACCGAGTATCACTGGACTGACCTATTTTCTTTTAATATTTTTATTCCTACCTCGGAACATCCGAAGCCTTCCTTTCAAATTCCATAGACGGCCAGTAGAAAGACGATGCATCGTTGGAATCCAATGGCCCCTTATTCTTATTCAGTTGTGAAACATCTTGGAAACAAAAACAAAAAAACACAATTAAAACTTTAAAAATTAATTTCCACTCATAATTTTTTTCATAAAATTACTTATATCCAAACAATTTCGAATACCTCTAGAGCCGACGACATTCGGTTTTGCCGGATTGTGTTTCGAATATGATATGTCGACAGGATCATCTCGCCCTGGAATGAAAAATTCACAACTAATATTGAATAATATATTATGAATAGATTCAATAATATTGCAATTACCTCCATAACCGAACCTGGTCCTGATCGAACCCAAATGAGCACCGAGCTGATCGGGAAGTAAGGGTTCCACTTTTGGATTAATATTGTTAGGCGAAACTGTTAATAAAAAAAAAAAAAATAGGTATAGTATATATTTCAAATAGCCGGGCCAACTAGTATATATATACTAGCTGACCCCGCAAACGCTGTTTTGCCATAAAAAATATTTCGAGTATAAAATGTTTAGTACGAAAATAACTAAGTAATTGCAAATCTGGTGCACAAGTGAAAGGAGCAGCTAACAAAAAATATATGAATAGTTTACCCATTGCAAAGCACGCCACATATAAATGTCCCTTAATAATAGTCTTTGCAAGAGCCAACCAAATCTAAAGCTGATTCTATTTAAATTGAATTGGCACATTCAAAGTTTTAAGATTTCGATATATTATTACCGTGCTTTTGCATTAATTCATTATTTTTTTAATTACAAATCAAAATATGATAATTCATTTTTATATTATATTGTTATGTGGGTTGTCCAGCCAATTGACTAAGATTGAAAAAAAATCAAGAGAGTGGAAAATTTTACAGTTTTGCCATAAATTTGTATGGTACCTATAGTTTTCTATCAAAAACTATTGTATCTTCAGATTTTAAAAATCAATCTCTCTATATTTATTATAAAAATTGCTCTTTATGCAAATCATTTATCAACTGTGCACTGTTTGTGCGCATCGGGAAATATTTGTACAATGAGAAAATGGGAGGGGTGGGCAAATCTTGACAAAAATAAATCGTTTTTTAACGGCCTTCTATTGCATTTTGACAGATTTAGTCTCTAGTAGCGCCTAAAGAAGTTTTACTTCAAAAATACAAATTAAAAAAGCCGGGCCAGCTAGTATAAATATAATAGAAAAAAGTTGTTTGATTAAAATTCATGTTTTATCATAAGGTCAGGAAAATATGATCATTAAAAATCAGTAAAAACACTCACTGACTAAAATGGCTATTATGAAATAAAGATTTGTGGATGGAGGGTGAAAATTTAGAGTTGTGTAAATTAAAATAAAGAAAATTGATTCCAAAATTTTAAAAAAAATATTAGGGACAAACAATCCTTAATGAAAAATAAATGTTTTTTTAAAGTAAAAAGAGTTCCACGTATTTCGTCTCTATGCAGCTAAAGCAGTGCGGTCGCTTTGAAAAAAAGTTCAAAATTTTCAACATATTTTGTTCAACATATTTCAAAAAAAAAATAAACTAGTGGGGTGTATAGCATCGTGCCTTAAGGCAAATTGCTGGAACTTCCCGTACCGTAACGAAATGTTGGAGGAATATTGAATGTTTTCAAATAGATTATTATAAATATTGTAACATTGTCTAATATTTATGAGAATTATATAAACTGAATTACAAAGTTAAAATTATTTGTTTAAAGTATATTAGAACTATAGTCAGAATTAAAAATAAAATCTGACTTATTTTCGATATACAAAAAAAAAATTTATTTGTAAAAAAAGTTGAAATTTTTTTTTCAAAATTAATTATTTTGTTAAGACAAGCAGAAAGTTCTTTGAATCATTTAAATCGGACGCTTAATTCTCTCAAAAACTCCCATTTTTTACATATTTAGCTCCGTATCTTCGAAATGGCGGGACCTGTCTTTGCCAAAAACTAATCACCTCTTCTCCCAATCATTACAAATTGAATGTTTTTTAGATCATTCAAATCCAATACTGCGTTCTCCCATAAACTCGATTTGTATTTTTTGCACTCTTTGCTCCGTATCTCCGGAACGTCTGGACCTGCCTTCGCCAAAACATAATCAGCACATCTACCTATCAATAGGAATCGAATGTTTTTTGAATCATTCAAATCGGTTGATCCGTGTCCCCGAAAACGTGGAGGAAAAAATGCGGACATACAAAACACACACACATCCATTTTTTCTGAAGTATGCCAAAATGTTCAGAAACCTTCAAAACGTCGAGAAATGTAAAAATTTTCAATTTCAATTTTTGGCCCATTACAATAACTTACCCTACGGGAAGTTAAAAAAAATCATTAAATTAAAATAAAAAAAAAAATATTAGATACATGTTGATACATACTTGTTAATATCAATTTTAGTTTTAAAAACAATTAAGCTCAGGTGTTGTCTGTTCCGAGCAATTTTAATTAATTAATTTTAAACATCTAATTGTTTTTTTTGTTTAATAAAATATGATTTCGAAAAACTGAGAACGTTTATCGAATTGCTACTTAGACGTGTCACTCACAAAATTTCCTGAAATAGAAAATACTCTCATACTTGCGACCAAATTATGCTTTATTGTTTTTAAAGCCTGATATAATTCTAAGTTTTTTGTTCCTTCATTTTTGGCTTCTAGGGTTTAAAACTCTTTTTTTTAAGATAGAATAGAGAAAGTTACTTCTTCAAGAAGAAGTCACATTGATTTAAATTAATATATACACTGGTATAAAAATCTAAATTAATATATAGAAAACCTTTCTGGGAACCATTGCAGATTGATAAGATATGAAATGATTTTGAACCGATATGATTTCAAGAATCAAAACGCTTTCATCTATATTTTATATTTGATTATAGTTGTCATTTTCCCATATACACTAAAAACCGACTTTTTTCGCTCAAAAACCGGTTTTTGGAAACCGATAAACCCTAATAGTAACACAAATGAATTCAAGGTTACGTGGCACATGCGGTAGAGAGAGAGAGTGGTTGAAGAGAAGTTTGATTGATTTTATAAATGATCTATTTGAAATTTATCTCGCAAACACTAAGCTATTAGCCTTGCGACTTGTTAATTGTCATTGCGAACGCAAGGCGAACTGGAAATTGCAATCGTTTGAAGTCAAACGGAAGACCAGTCGGAATCATTGGTATGTCACCAAATCGCCAGCAATTTTTGATTCAATGGTGAAATTCAGTGCGTGTACATCATATTTCTTGGCGAAAAGAAAATTGATTACAAAAAGTTAGGTATGAACAAATCTTGATAAAAATAATTAGCATTTCAAACTAAAAATTGTTTTATCTATTTTCTAATTTTATATTATTACTTTTCCTCTTCCGCCTCTCCGATCCGTAAACTCTTTCGTCTGCCGCCTCCGACACCAGCCTCGGCAGTTGCTTATGAGGCACCGGATAGGACACTCCGCCCTTCTGCTCCGAATAACCAGGAGAAACTGCGTCGATCCAGACGCAGCAGCGGCACTCCTCCGGCAGGGAAAAAGTTGCCGGCATCGGATATAGGCGAAGTCAGGGACACCTCCACTGTCGGCTCTGGTAAAAGAAATACAGACACATTACACAAATTTAATTGTTGAATGTAAATTTAGCCCTAGGTTTAATTCCAGATTTATATATATATATATATATATATATTTTATATATTAGATTAATTAAGCAAAATATATTATATATTTTACAAATATTTTACTATGTTCTGTTCAACAAAATAATAATTTTTTAAAAAAAAAAAAAACAAGTTAGTGTATATATAATAGTGCAAAATTATGTGCCTTGCGCTAGCTACTGATGTAAGACCATATTTATGTAAGTTAGCTTCGTTGACTATATATATGTATGTGTCTGTATTGCATATGTATGTATATGTATATATATTTATATATATATATATATATATATATATGTGTGTGTATATGTATATATGTATATATGTGTATGTATGTATATATGTATATGTGTATGTGTATGTATGTATATATGTGTATATACGTATACATATGTACATGTCCGTATGTATATGTTTATATATACGTATTATTCGTATGTATATATGTATATGTGCACGTGTTTGTACATGTATATCATATATACATGTTTGTTTGTGTGTATATTTATGTATATATATTACGCTTTTGTATGTTTGTATATATTTCTTTTTACTTTTCATTTCTCTTGTTTATCTAGCTGTTAAGTATATTTGTTATTGTTATAATTATATTACTTATATCTACAGTTCTTTTTCCAATTTCTGTCAATTTTTCCCTAGTTTATATTAATTTTTCAATATTCATTCTGTAGATCCACTGATGATGACATAAAATACTATGTCGAAACGTTTGGAAAAATTAAGGATTAACTTCTAAATCTTTGCCTTTTATTTGATGTATTGCCCTTGAAGAACTTACTCATATTTCTCAACATCAAAACTAACTTCTCTAACATATATATGTATATATATATATATATATATATATATGTATGTATACTAGATGACCCGACGGACGTTGTCCTGTACCCACGTCTACAATTCAATAGTTCCAATTTTTTTAATAACCTATACTGATATTTACCATTAATGTTTTTTACAACAATAAATAGATCATAGATAAACAAGTATAAATTGATGGCAAACACGAGTACTTTGACATGAGATAAATTTTAATTCTTTCAGCATATTATAGATGTCGCCACCAAACGTAGCACGTAAATTTACCCTTAGGTTTAATTCTAGATAAGATTTATATGTACCAGATGACCCGACAGACGTTGTCCTGTACCCATGTCTACAATTGAAAAATTTCATTTTTTTTTTATAACCTATACGGATATTTACCTTTGATGTTTTTACACTGTAGTCTATACCGAAATGTATATACATCAATATGAGTGATCTTAAATGTACAACTGCTTTAAATAAAATGTTGAGTCTCATTTTCAGAACCCACACTTAACTCTTTAATTATACTGTGAAATTCAAATCAGCCACGTAAGACTATTAAGCAAACAAATGTTCAGAGAAATATTATATTAGAAATATACACTACAATTTATTCAACAAATTTATTTCCATTACCTCAATTTATTTTAATGCCAAGGATTATGACAATATTTTTAGTCAAACCTGTAGATGTATAAATAAATTATTTTTTGTTTATCCATGACTAAAACATTGATTTTTCAAATTTATCACACAAAAATTCATCGTCTGCCTTGTGATTTATAGCATAAGATATACGTATTGGAATTGCAGTCTTTTAAACGGTATAACGAATTCAGAAAGAATTAATATATAGTATCCGCAGTAACGGTACAATATCAAAAGGTACAATATCACCTTTCAATGATTTTTTGACTCAAAATAATTGCTTCAATATTATTGCCCATATTTTTTATAATCTCGTACTATATATATCAATTGCTTTCAGTAATAATAATATCTAAATTACATTTCTCTTAATAATAATTTGATATAGATTATTACTTAAGTGAATTAATTTGTCAAATCCTGTTCATATATGCACTATCCAATCTACGATCGACTAAATTAGTGCAGTAATTGGAGAGGCAAAAAAGGGTGTAACCTGTGAACTTTTTTTTACTGTGCTCCAATTTGCATATTAGATGAAATACGATTAATTTTAATTTTGGTGGAAATGGCACTCATAAAACTAATTGATTTAGATAAAAAAAACACACCCTTAACAGTACTCTTTTTAAAGCTTATTTTGAGCACTATAAAACTGCATGGAATATATAAAATGTAACACCTCGCCCCTAGATGGCTTCAAATACAACAATTAAATCTCGAACGAAACAAAAAACGAATTTTTAACTTCCCGTAGGGTAAGTTATAGTAATCGCAAAAAAATCGAAAATGAAAATTTTTATATATCTTTACGTTTCAGAGGTTTCTGAACATTTTGGCATACCTTAGAAAAAATGGATGTATGTGTGTGTGTGTGTGTGTGTATGTATGTGTGTGTATGTATGTGCGGATACAAATTTTCGTCGACGATTTCGGGAACACGGGTCAACCGATTTGAATAATTCAAAAAACATTCGATTCGTATTGATAAGGAGACGTGCTGATTAGTTTTTGGCAAAGGCAGATCTAGCCGTTCCGGAGATACGGGGCAAAAAGTGCCGAAAACGGTAACTCAGTTTCTAAGAGAACGGAGCGTCCGATTTTAATAATTCAAAAAACATTTTACTTGTATTGACAAGATAAAGAACTGATCAAATTTTCATAAAGGCAGGTCTAGCGGTTTCGGATATCTAACAAAAAAAGTAAAAAAAAATGCCATTTGGCGGTCAAAAATGATCATTAGATATATGCACATCAAATTTTCAGATATTTTATAGAGATTTTAACAATAAGTATAAATTTTGTTTATTTTCCTATGGGTTCCGTATCAATGTTTACTCGTTAGACAGCGACGCCGCGCTTACGCGCTTTATATTTTGTCTCTATGCAGTTAAAGCAGTACGATTGCTTTGAAAAACAAGTTCAGATCTTCCAAAATATGTCAAAATAAAGAAAACATTTTTTTCAAAAAAAAAAAATTAAAAAAAAATTTTTTTTTTTAAAAAAATTAAAAAAAAATAATTTTTTTTTCAAAAAAAAGTTATTTTTTGTCCAATTTATAGTTTTTCAAAAATCTTATTTTTTCGAAGTAAATTTTTTTCAAAAATGTTAATCGTTTTTAAAAGAAATAATAAATTTTGGTACGGGAAGTTCCAGCAATTTTCCTTAAGGCACGATGCCCTAATTGCCTTTAAGACAGAATTCCACTTACAGCTAGTCTCTTTCATATCTAGCTTGATATTGTTCCTGGGACACATTACAAAACACAGATTTATCAAGATTTTCATTGATTAAATTTTGTTCATTACATGATTTTCGTTAAAATGTATAATTTTGAAGATTTTTGTAGAAAAACAATGAAAAACGCCAAAATGAAACGTACTTTTACTAGGCAGTAACTTGAAAAGTATTTGCTTTTTTGAAAAATATTATGAAACATATTTCTCTTATAATTAGTTCTTTTATCGATATTCGACGTTATTTTGACAAAAATAAAAATACACCACTGTGAAGGGGTGTCATCCTCCCGGGGAGTCCAAATTATTTTCACTTTTGAACTTGAGAGTTTTTTGCAGCCTGAAGCACATTTGTTCTATGTCTATTACTTATTACTAACCTTTGACAGCAATAACTTCTTCACCCCCAGCAAACAAAGAATCGAGTGGAGCAACTTTTTGCGAGCAAGGCTCCTGCTCCGGTATCCAGGGTTCAGCTCGTCCTGGCTGATGAGGGTTCAGAAAATCGTCATTACCGCCGGGAGCATAGCCTTTTCCAACAATACCTACAGCAATAAGTAATATTTATAATATAGTTTAAACAATGAGTTTTTATTTGACATTGTCTTACCATCTTCGTTCTCGGAAATCGGAGGCCTACTTGTCATTCCAAAATCGCCTCGTATCCAAGGGATGTTTGCAAGTTGAACTGATGGCGTCAATACGAAGGGCGAAACCTAAAATTGAGAAGTAAATGAAAGGTAAATGTTTTTATAAATGACTAGCTATCCCAGCAAACGTTGTTTTGCTATGTGAGGTATATTCTAAACAATTTCCAGAGAATGAAAAACATTAATACTTTAAGTGTATAAGGATTAAGTGTTGTTTGAATGCCACATACAATGGGGTATTATAAAAACAATAAATCCCATTAGTTTGTCTATATTTTGTCAATACAATCAAACTGGAAGTTTTATACACTTTCTATAGAGAACATAGTATAATCCAATCCAAGGCTTTCTGGATCTTTCGACTTATTGATTGCGTTTCAAGTTTTTCAGATTTTATTTGGATTCTGGATTTTGTGTATAATTTTAAATAATACTACTGAGCTTATACAAAATTTTCAAATTTCTGCGAGGAGAGATAGAAAATGGATTAGATATATCTGCTTTGACCTGCTTTTTGAAAAGTTTCAAGTAACATTCGATGAATTAAAGTAAATTTAATAAAAAGTATTATGGATTTTCAAAGATTATCCTTTATCTCCCGATAGCAATGTCATGAGAATCAGGGTTATAGCTGGTTATACATCTTTACATCCCTCTACTTTCAAATATTGTTGTTAAACCTTTTTAACCCGAACCTTCATATATTACTATCTATTCTTCGATAAATTCTGGGAAATTATAACTGGGAAAATGTTATTCGACAAAATGTCCCTTTGATCGATACCAAATTTAGGTTCTGAATTAAAATAACATAAATAAAAAATAATATAACCTAGAAAATGTTTTATAAATACCAATGAGTATATAATTATACAAATGAGGTGTTTTAGAGCCCCGTATTTGAGAAAAATATGCCAAAAAGTGCATTTTCATATTAACATATCAAAAAAGTTTATATTTTGAGTCTCTAGTAACACTTGCCAAATCGGTTTAGCCGTTTTCGAGTTTTAGCGGATCATTTGATAGAGAGCTCCATTTTTATATATAAGATATATAGAGTATATCGAGAATTTGTGATTTTTTGTTTTCATTTTATTTAGTCAAATAAATGTGGTTTATCTTTTCTAAAGTCCCTATTATATTTTTTAGTTTAAAATTTAATTTGCTCGTCAGTAGAGTCATTTTTAGATTTTAAATACAAATTAAAGTTTGCTCGTCAGTAGAGTTTCTTTTTTATCTTGTAGTTTAAAATTTAATTTGCTCGCCAGTAGAGTCCCTTTTATGATTTTAGATCAAAATTAAAGTTTGCTCGTCAGTAGAGTCCTTTTTTAGATTCTATATCAAAATCAAGTTTGGTCGTCAGTAGAGTCCCTTTTCTTATTCTTTAGTTTAAAATTTCATTTGCTCGTCAGTAGAGTCCTTTTTTGATTTAAGATCAAAATTAAAGTTTGCTCGTCAGTAGAGTTTCTTTTTTATCTTTAAAATTAAAATTTAATTTCCTCGTCAGTAGAGTCCCTCTTTTATTTTTTAGTTTAAAACATAATTTGCTCGTCAGTAGATTTCCTTTTTTATCTTGTAGTTTAAAATTTAATTTGCTCGTCAGTAGAGTCCCTTCTTTGGATTCTAGATTAAAATTTAACTAGCTCGTCAGTGGCGTCCCTTTTCAGATTTCAGCTCTAAAACAAGTTTGCTCATTAGTAGAGTCCCTTTTTTATTTTTTAGTTGAACATTTAATTTGCTCGTCAGTAGAGTCCCTTCTTTGGATTCTAGATTAAAATTTAGCTAGCTCGTCAGTGGCTTCCCTTCTTTGGATTCTAGATTAAAATTTAACTAGCTCGTCAGTAGAGTCCGTTTTTAGATTCTATATCAAAATCAAGTTTGCTCGTCCGTAGAGTCCCTTTTTTATTTTTTAGTTGAAAATTTAATTTGCTCGTCAGTAGAGTCTCTTCTTTAGATATATTATAATCAAGTTTATCTTTTTCATATTATCTCTTATATATAAAATTATTCTGTAATATTCTGGAGATAAATTGATTTATTTATGATTTACATTTGATATCCCTCAGATATAACAATATAGCAAAAGTAATGGGTGTAACAGTATTTGTAATAATATATTTGAAAACGTTTCAAATTTCTCGAATATTTCATTACGATACGGGAAGTTCCAGCAATTTGCCTTAAGGCACGATGCCATACACCACTACTTCCAACTTACCTTCACCAATGCTATATCATGTTCCTTATCAGTCTCCTTCTCGTGCAACAATAAACGCGACGCCTTTCTAAATTGCACAGAACTCGGAGGCGCAATTATGGTGACCGATGCAGATCCCGTGGAAGTTCCAGCAAAAGGGTACCCACCAGTGGCGTGCGAATTATCCACAGGCAGAGAGGAACGGTGCAGGTGCCTCCAGAACCTCCCGGCCAGAACCGCCCTGTTGTGAGGGGCTACTGGCTGTCTACCATTTGCAGTACTAGAGGATAAATGACATATTTATATAATAAATTTGTCGTAAAAAACACGAAAACAAGAACAGGATGTCCCAGAATTCAACGTCAAAGAGAATATAAGAAAATTCTGGGACGCCCTATTTTTGCAATTTGTCCTATTTTGCATCCAAATGATAAATTGGTGGTAGAACACATTGCAAGAATAGGGTGTCCCAGAATTCAACGTCAAAGAGAATATAAGAGAATTCTGGGACACCCTATTTTTGCAATTTGTCCTATTTTGTATCCAAATGATAAATTGGTGGTAGAAGACATTGTTAAAATAGGGTGTCCCAGAATTCGATGTCAAAGAGAATATAAGAGAATTCTGGGACACCCTATTTTTGAAATTTGTCCTATTTTGTATCCAAATGATAAATTGGTGGTAGAAGACATTGTAAGAATAGGGTGTCCCAGAACTCAACGTCAAAGAGAAATGGGCACAACATAGTCAATTGGTAAATGATAAATTTGTGGTAGGACAAATTGTAAGAATAGGGTGTCCCAGAACTCAACGTCAAAGAGAAATGGCGATAACACAGTCAATTGGTAAATGATAAAATTGTCGTAGGACAAATTGCAAGAATAGAGTGTCCCAGAACTCAACGTCAAAGAGAAATGGGCACAACATAGTCAATTGGTAAATGATAAATTTGTGGTAGGACAAATTGTAAGAATAGGGTGTCCCAGAACTCAACGTCAAAGAGAAATGGCGATAACACAGTCAATTGGTAAATGATAAAATTGTCGTAGGACAAATTGCAAGAATAGAGTGTCCCAGAACTCAACGTCAAAGAGAAATGGCGCTAACATAGTCAATTGGCAAATGATAAATTTGTGGTAGGACAAATTGTAATAATAGGGTGTCCCAGAACTCAACGTCAAAGAGAAATGGCGCTAACATAGTCAATTGGCAAATGATAAATTTGTGGTAGGACAAATTGTAATAATAGGGGGTCCCAGAACTCAACGTCAAAGACAAATGAGGATAACATAGTCAATTGGTAAATGATAAATTTGTGGTAGAAAAAATTGCAAGAATAGGGTGTCCCAGAACTCAACGTCAAAGAGAAATGGCGATAACATAGTCAATTGATAAAAGATAAATTGGTGGTAGAAGACATTGCTTAATGGGGTGTCCCAGAACTCAACGTCAAGCCGAAACTAGGATAATATTGATCATAGATATTAAGGAAAAATTTGGAAAAAATTTCTCATATATTTTGAAAATTGTGAACTTCTTGATGCAACCTAAGGAGGCGTCCATTGATCACGTGATCAATTTTTTTAGGGATTTTTGGACTCACCCCTCTCCTTTGGTAGTATGTGGTGATATTTAAAATTACCCTGCTTTCCCTCAGCAAACATCACGTGTATTTTTAGTTACGAGGAAAATTTTGTTCATTTAAACTTTGGATCCGTAATCGTGAATAACATTTCTAGGACCACAGTCCAAAATAATGACACATCTAAAACAAAATTAGTAAAAATTAACCACAATAACCTAAAAATTGTCACCAAAGCTCTAGGTTGCACTTAAAAGCTCTTAGTTTCCAAACAACGTGAGGTATGTCTTTCTATTTTTTTTCTATTGACGTTGAGTTCTGGGACACCCTATACATATATGTAAAATGCAAATTTACACCGCGACTAAACATCTTTCGGCAGTCAGAACCCAAGAAGGAGTTATCAAAGAACCTCCACATAAATGTCTTGAATGAGTTTCGTTCAGCTCCCTCACCGAAACCTAAAAATAAAAAAAAAATTAGGCCAACTAGGCAATTCTGCCTTATAAAATAGTATTGTCATGATAATGCTATCTTATGCTTGTTTCTTGGTAGTGAAATCTGTGAAAATGTCTATTTATTTTGTGTCTATCTATTTGCTGTGTATAAGGCGTATTTTACATATAAACACGCAAAGAAGAATGTTACGATAACAGAATCTTGGATGATGTAGTTATCATAACATTCTTCCTTGCTTGTTTATATGTAAAATACGCCTGATTGTACAGCAAATAGACAGACATTTTTACAGTTTTACTAACAAGAAACAAGCATAAGATACCGTTGACAAGACAAAGCTATTTTCTGATAAAATAGAAATGTTATGGTAATGCTATCTTTGTATGAGTTGGTAGTAACAAACTTGGTAGGAAAAACTATGCAATCAGTGATTTTACACATTAAACCTAACCTCCAAAACGCACAAACGTCAAATAACAATTTTCAACAAGTAAAATATATAAAAAAGGACTCTACTGACGAGCAAATTAAATTGTAAAGACAGAAATATAAAAAAGGACTTTACTGACGAGCAAATTAAATTGTAGAGAGAAAAATATAAAAAAGGACTCTACTGACGAGCAAATTAAATTGTAGAGAGAAAAATATAAATATTATATTAAATATTAGGATAGAATTTTTTTTTATATTTTTCTCTCTACAATTTAATTTGCTCGTCAGTAGAGCCCTTTTTTATATTTCTGTCTCTAAAATTTAATTTGCTCGTCAGTAGAGTCCTTTGTATAACTTTTTAACTTTTTTTACATTTTTAACTTTTCAATTTAATTTGCTCTTAAAAAATGTAGGAAGAAAAGAGAAACAATTTTTTGAACTTTTTTAATTTATATTTCATAACCATGTTTATTTTTTCTGAGTTGATAAGGATATCTGATAAGAATATCTGATTTATCATAAGTGCAGTTTTGTGATGTCTCATTAATAACACATAGAAAATACATAGCTTGTTAACCACAAATTTCCAATTTTATCAAAAAATTTACTTCTATATACTTACCACAAACGGGTAATGTTTAAAATCAGCTCCATTATCAACATCGCTCTTTTTTTGAAATGCATCAACGCCAACATCAATTCCGAAAAAAGCAAAATAAAATAAAAACAACATCAATAACATCCCCGACACCGTTTGGAATTTCATTTTTCACTTCATTTTCGCCCAGAAATTATCGTAAAAATTTCGAAATAAAAAATATACAACGGGTGTAAAAAAATAATTAATAATTTGTGAAAATTTTTGACATTTTGGGATAGAAAATTTGTTGAAACTTTTGACAGACGTTGGAAATTTTTTGTTTGGGGAAAGGAATTTGTAGAAATATAATTTATATGATATGAAATCAGTCTTCATAAATTTCTTAATAAATTTCTGATTATTAAAGTAATAATAATGATATAAATTAATTAAATTAATCATGATCATTGTCATAGTAATGCTATTTTATGCTTGTTGATGAAACTGTGAAAATGTCTATTTTACATATAAACAAGCAAGGAAGAATGTTATAATAACTGCATCTTCTAGAATTCTATTATCATAACATTCTTCCTTGCTTGTTTATATGTAAAATACGCCTGATCGCACTGCAAATAGGTAAACATTTTCACACAATGCTATTTTATGAGGCAGAATTGCCCAGTTAGTATTCTAAATTAAATGACTATTACTTTAAAAAATATTTTTTCGATCCAAAAATGTCATGTATTCGTTATTTATAATTCAATAAACTACCAATTACTGTACAAATTAATATGATTATTAAAACGTGATGATGATTGCCTGAAGTACAGTTCAAATAAGCACCAACTTTTTCATCTACAGTTGCATGTGTTAGCCAATAAGCAAACTGTAAGAAAATAATCATTTAACATTTAACTAATAACTAATTAGTAATATTGACTAATTGGGCCAATTCTCAAATAAAATACAAATATTATACTATGGCTATGTTATGGGTCTATCTTCGTATGAGTTGGTAGATACGACCTGCCTAAAAGCTATTACAAGCGTTTTTTTACAACAATTTTATCATAAGTGCAACTTTGTGAAATCTCATTGATAGCACATATGTAAAGTAAAGTTTTATGTGTAAAACGCCTGATCGCGCAGCAATTACATCGCTTTTTTACTCATACGAGTATAGCATTACCTAAACATTTCTATTTTATCCGAGACTTGGCCCCATAATTTATTGCCAAGAAAAGAATTTTATTACAATATTTCTTACCTGGTCGATAAATATTAGTACTTGTTCGGCAGTATACTTGAAACAATGTGTTCGTCTTCCTTTTATTACACCAAATAAAATTTTGCTATAGCCACAGACAAATGGAGCACCACCATCTAACTGGAATTATAAAATTTTGTATGAATAGACCAAGAAAAAACAACTTTTTTAACATCCCCTAAATGTAAGAATCATCATTGTTTATATATCAATTTTTATATAATCATTTATGAGAAAGATTTTTATAAATATTTACCTGAGAAAAATAATGTATGTGGTTTTGACTAATAACTTGCAATATTTTTACATTTATGAACTAGTTTCAAGTGGCATTTTACCTTAAAGCAAATTGCATGAACTTCTACATATAAAAAGTAAAACTAAAAAGTTTCTACCTTTAATCTAGTAAGAATCTAGTGCAAACCTAAAAAGAACCTAGTTATATATGATATTCTAGTATCAAATAAAAATCTAATAGGGATCTTAAAAGTATTTATGGATCATATATGAACCCAACACCAATAATGGTGGCAAGATTCTTATAAAAATCTGATTTAGATCTAATATGAATATAATAAGATAATAGCTGAAATTTCACAAGAATTAAGGAAAATCTATGTTCTAAATTATTCATAATTATTCTAACATATTCATAGGATACCAACGTCTTATTATATTCTGATCAGATTCCCATGGGGTTCTTAGCAGGATTTAATTAATTCTTATAAGATCAAATTCGCGAATTGACCATTTCCTTCCTTTATTTTCAAAATAAATAGTTGAAAATTTAGATCTAAAATTTAAATCTAATTATCTAAATCTCAATTTCAATTGACTAAGTCAATTATTACACCACTGACACCTAATCCTTATATTCATATTTACCACACAAATTCGTTTTTTCTTCTCTCGATCATCATCTTCAGATGGCATCATCGTCAACTTTCTTTTACCTTGATTTAAAGAACAATTTGGTTTGGAGAACACCACCGGAATTATAGTCAACTTTGAAGTATTTGCCCTAATAAAATAAAATGTTATGGTTATGAATAATCTTATCATAACAGAATTCTAGATGATGCAGTTATCATAACATTCTCCCTTGCTTGTTTATATGTAAAATACGCCTGATCGCACTGCAGACAGATTTTCATAATTTTCAATACCAAGAACAAGCAAAAAAGAGCGCTGCCACGACAACTCTATTTTATGAGCTCTGTTACGGCAGAATAGCCCCATAAATTTCTCAAAATAATATTTTACTTACACTTTATTAACGATTTCGCAAAAGTCAAACATTGTAGTAAAATCAACCTTTTGTAGAGGCATGTAACTTGATGATCCATTCGGTGTCTTGTCCCAAGGTAAATTGGCTAGACTTAGTAGGGCGTTGGTCATCGGAAATGGATAGATAGCCTAAAAATAAAAATCGAATATATAATAGTACTTACTGATGTTAAAAGAACCTTTAATTAACTTTTCGTAGGGTAGTTATAGTAATGGGCCGAAAATCGAGAATCGAGAATGAAAATTTTTGCATTTCTCCACGTTTTGAAGGTTTCTGAACATTTTCAAAGGGCATACCTCAAAAAATATGAATGTGTGTGTGTGCGGTACAAATTTATCTGTCGACGATTTCAAGCATGGATCAACTGATTCAAATGATTCATTTGCCATTTGATTCCTATTGATAGGGAGATGTGCTGATTAGTTTTTGGCAAAGGCAGGTCCAGCCGTTACGGAGATACGGAGCAAAGAGTCCAGAAAATACAAGTCAAGTTTTTGAAATAACGGAGTATCGGATTTGAATGATCTAAAAAAACATTCAATTTGTAATGATTGGGAGAAGAAGTGATTAGTTTTTGGCAAAGACAGGTCCCGCCATTTCGAAGATACAGAGCTAAATGTGCAAAAATGGCAGTTTTTGATTGAACTAAGCGTCCGATTTGAATGATCTAAAGAACTTTCGGCTTGTATTGACAACAATTGCTTTTGAGGATAAAAAAATGATACATCTTTTTTTATTTTCCATAAAATATTTTTGTAATTTTATATTGAAAATTCTAAAAATTACCCAGGCTAAGCACAGTCTAAGCGCCACTCCGGTGCAAATGTTTACCCAAGTGCGTTTAGATTGTTCCCGTACCGGAGCACTTGTCCAATTTTGTGAGAAAACTATGTGAAAAATGTGAAAATGCCGCCAAGCTAAGCACAGTATAAGTGTAAATGTCGCACAGAATTATTTGCAATTTTTTAACAAAAGTATTTTTGGAGTTGTTAGTTTTGGTTTTGAGCACTGTTATTTAGTTTACGATTCCTGAAAATAATAACAAGTAAAGTGTGGTATTTTTAACGTTACTATTTTAAAGTAGAGAGCAAAAGATGTGTGACCAGATATCACCTTGAATGATGTAAATTCTTTGACAAACGTATTTTTGAAGTTGTTAGCTTAATTTGGTTTTGAGCACTGTTAATTAGTTTACAATACCTGAATATAGTAACAAGTAAAGTGTGATATTTTTAACGTTGCTATTTTAAAGTAGAGGGCAAGAGATGTGTGACCAGATATCGCCTTAAATATTATCAATTTTGTAACAAAAGTATTTTTTTCGTGTTTAGTTTAATTTGGTTTTGAGCACTGTTATTTAGTTTACAATACCTGAATATAGTAACAAGTAAAGTGTGATATTTTTAACGTTGCTATTTTAAAGTAGAGAGCAAAAGGTGTGTGTCCAGATATCGCCTTAAATATTATCAATTTTGTAACAAAAGTATTTTTTTCGTGTTTAGTTTAATTTGGTTTTGAGCACTGTTATTTAGTTTACAATACCTGAATATAGTAACAAGTAAAGTGTGATATTTTTAACGTTGCTATTTTAAAGTAGAGGGCAAGAGATGTGTGACCAGATATCGCCTTAAATATTATCAATTTTGTAACAAAAGTATTTTTTTCGTGTTTAGTTTAATTTGGTTTTGAGCACTGTTATTTAGTTTACAATACCTGAATATAGTAACAAGTAAAGTGTGATATTTTTAACGTTACTATTTTGAAGTAGAGGGCAAGAGATGTGTGACCACTTGACCAGATATCGCCTTAAATTTATCAATTTTGTAACAAAAGTATTTTTTTCGTGTTTAGTTTAATTTGGTTTCGAGCACTGTTATTTAGTTTACAATACCTGAATATAGTAACAAGTAAAGTGTGATATTTTTAACGTTACTATTTTGAAGTAGAGGGCAAGAGATGTGTGACCACTTGACCAGATATCGCCTTAAATTTATCAATTTTGTAACAAAAGTATTTTTTTCGTGTTTAGTTTAATTTGGTTTTGAGCACTGTTATTTAGTTTACAATACCTGAATATAGTAACAAGTAAAGTGTGATATTTTTAACGTTACTATTTTAAAGTAGAGGGCAAAAGATCTGAGACAGATATCTCCTTAAATATTATCAATTTTGTAACAAAAGTATTTTTTTCGTCTTTAGTTTAATCTGGTTTTGAGCACTGTTATTTAGTTTACGATATTCGAGTATTTTTTTCACAGTGTCAGTGAAAATGTCGCACAGAATTATTTGCAAATGCGTTTAGACTGTGACTATACGGAAGCACTTTTTCAATTTTGTGTAAATTAGGCAACTATTTTTTTGAAATTGAATTCGAAATGAAATGACGATTGGTAATGTTAATGTTGGAGATAAATTGATTTATTTATGATTTACATTTGATTTGCTGAGATATAACAGGATAGCAAAAATAATGAAAGTTACTACAGTATTTGTAATAATATATTTGAAAACGTTTAAAATTTTTCGAATATGTCATTACGGTACGGGAAGTTCCAGCAATATGCCTTAACCATACACCACTAGTTTATTATCAATTTACCTTTACCAAAGCCAGTCCACTGAGTTTATGTAAAATTATCTTAGCGACTTCGATCGCAACTTCCTTCCTTGGAAGACCATCTTCAGAATTTCCTGAAAATCTACCACTAGCTGCCAACCACAGTTTCCACACTGGCAACACTTCTTCATAATCACCCAAGGTAACACTTTCAGTGGTTCCTAAATTCGTAGTAGTTTCTTCTGTGGATGCATCATCGAGTTCATCATCACCTTCATCATCGAGTACATCATCACCTTCATCATCAGCGTCTTCAGAACGAAATGTATCAGGATCGAGGTTTAGGGATGAGGAGTTTCTAAATGGATAATAGATGTATGGTAATTCAGATAGATGCCACTTACAACTAGTTTTTGTCAAAACTCACGTCACACATTCGATGGTGGTCAGAACAAAAATTGGTGTGACCAAAGAGCCAGTGCAAATGTGCGCCTCTGGTGCATCTGAACCATATCTGATAGAAATCTAGAAAAATAAAATTATAAGCAAGAGTCTGGTGAATTTTGAACAGGGTATCCCAGAATTCAACGTCAACAGTATGATAGAATCATGAAAAAAATTATAAGCTTTCAAGTGCAACCAAGTGTTTTGGTAAAAATGTGAGAAATTGATGAAAAATAGAAATTTACAAAAAATATATTCATAAGCCTAAGATCTGGCAAATTTTACACATGGTATCCCAGAATTCAACGTCAACAGGATGATAGTATAATAGAAGTAGAAAAATCATAAACGTTTAAGTGTAACCTAGAGTTTTCGTGAAGCGTAACAAGATGATAATATCATAAAAAAAATTAAACTTTTCAAGTCCAATCTAGAGTTTTGGTGAAAGTGTGACAAATATGGGTGTCCCAGAATTCAACGTCAAGCGGAAACAAGTTGATATAGTATCATGAAAAAAATTATAAGCTTTTTAAGAGCAACTTAAAGCTTTGGTGGAACTGTGACGAATTGTTAGTTATTTAGGTTATCTCATCATCATAATTTTCTAAATATGGTGTCCCAGAACTCAACGTCAAGCGATAACAAGTGTGATAGTGTTTTGGTAAAAATGTGATGAATTTTTGGTTATTTAGGTTATCCGAACCATATCGATATCTGGAAAAAAATATATGTTTAAGCATAATTTTCTCAAAAGGATATCCCAGAACTCAACGTCAACAGGATGATAGTATCATAAAACAAAACATAATGTTTCAAGTGCAACGTAGAGTTTTGATAAAAATGTGACAAATTTTTGGTTATTTAGGTTATCTGATAGAAATCTGGAAAAATATATCTTTGAGCATAATTTTTGGAACAGGGTGTCCCAGAACTCAACGTTAAGCGGCAACAGGATAATAGTATCATAAAAAAATTAGGAGCTTTTTAAGTGCAACCTAGAGTTTTGGTAAAAATGTGACCAATTTTTGGTTATTTGGGTTACCTGACCCATTTTTGATAAAAATTTGGCAAAAATATATTTTTAAGCATAATTTTCGGACCAGGGTGTCACAGAACTCAACGTCAAGCTCAAACAGAATGATAGTATCCAGAAAAAATATATATGCTTTCAAGTGCAATCTAGAGTTTTGGTAAAAATGTGTCGAATGTTTGGTTATTTAGGTTATCTGATCCATTTCTGATAGAAATCTGGACAAAATATATTTTTGAGAATAATTTTCTGAACAGGCTATCCCAGAACTCAACGTCAACCCGAGATAAAAAATTATCCCACGTAGTTTGAAAATTATTATTTTTCAAGTGCAACCTTGAGCTTTGGTGAAACTTCAACAATTTTTTGCTTTAAATTTAAAGTAAAACCTGAAAAATCTTTTATTAATATATTAATTTTTTGCCAGATATTTTTCCACAAAATTGCATATTCAAATATAAAAATTATCCTCAAAGCGATGGAAATTTGGGATAACATATTTATAAGCGGTTTGTAATTGTTTTTATATTTATTTATTATTATTTCAGAAGTCACTTAAATCTAATTAAAAATGAACTTTTTTTAAAAATCATTTAAAAAAATGAATTAATTTTCTTGTCGATTTACATAGAAAACCTTTTATGAGCAAACTTAAAAAGGAATAAACAAAATATTATTATTATAACTGTTAAATGACGGAATTAACATATAATAAAAATGATTTTGAAACATGGATCATTAGAAATATTAATATAAATTATTTTTTACCATAAATGGAAAATCCGAGTACTTGTAAAATTTGCGACAGTCCACCATGTAACAAGTGATTAACATCATAAAATAATATATATAGTGCATTAGCTAAATTTTATTTTTTGCAATATCAGTCAAAATGACAAAATGTGTCAAAATTTAATTTAGGAAAAAACATTTCATTTTCACTTAGGAATTTAATTTTAAGCGTCATACCATAATTAAAAAAAAAATTAAACCAAGCAAAAATTCTAGATCTAAAAATTATTATCTTAAATTGTAGTGACTATTACTATTTTTTTTTATTTCCTCATCTCAGGGTCAAAATCAGTCCAAAGTCCATCGGTTGTAACCCCATACATCAAATTGTGTCCAGTCAAGTCTAGCCGCTTTCTAAGTAAAAATAAAAACCCGTGCATCTCACATTAATTTCAATTAAAAGTCTAATTACCTCATTCGAGTGTTCAGTTACTATTCAGATCGTATTAATTCATTTTTATGAAATTATCATATCAGATGACTGGACACCTGGCTGGTGGCTTTGAGGTCAGTTTACATCAGAGGAAATTGGTCTAGGAAAAAATTAAAGGTCAAACTTATGAGGTCAAAATAGAAATATTTGAGTAGTTAGAAGATATATATATATATATATATATATATTATATAATATATAAATATATATATATATAATATATATATAAATAAATAAATATATATATATATATATATATAATATATTAAACTAGTGGTGTATGGCATCGTGCCTTAAGGCTAATTGCTGAAACTTCCCGTACCAAAATAAAATATTCAAGGAATATTAAATGTTAATAACAAATACTGTAACTTTCATTATTCGTATTTTATAGACAAAATATAAGGGCTTATAAATTGCACAACCAGTTTTATATATATTTACATGAGAAGTGAATAAACAAAACTTAATCAAGTCTTGTTATTATTAAAGGACTTTATCTCATATTTCTAAAGAATTGCAAAGTTAAAATTATTTATTTCTAGTATATAAGTTAGGATTAGAATTTTAATTAGTTAATTTATTTTTGGAAATTAAAAGTATAAACATTACTACTGACGAGCAAAATTTATTTTTATTAAAAAGGGACTCTACTGACGAGCAAATGAACAAAAAAGGACTCTACTGACGAGCAAATGAACAAAAAGAACTCTAACAACAAACTAATAATGTAAAATTGAATTTTTTTTATATAAAACCTCAAATGTACTGACGAGCAAGTGAACAGAAAAGGACTCTACTGACAAGCAACCGAACAAAAGGGACTCTATTGACGAGGAATTTTCTTTTTTTTTTATTTCAATAATTATTACAACTGCTAATTATTAACATCAAGTAATATTGATAAATAATAATATAAATTTAAATAAATAAAAGAGCAAAGGATAAAATTTACATGAAAATAATATCCGTGAACAAAAAAGGACTCTACTGACGACCAAATTAACAAAAAGAAATTCTACTAATGATATTAAGACCTCTATACTGATAGAGAAATATATTCATGTAAAAATATTAATAAAATCAGAATAAAATGAACAGAAGAGAAACTCCCCTTTTAAGCAATTAAATTTAACTTCAATTTTACATTTTTACATTTGCAACTTCACCAATCGTTTTCTTTTCGGTTCTTAGTTCTTACTCCGCGACTTAGTCCAGACATATTTTCATTTCCAGATCCAATTTAATGTTTTAAATGAACATTTTTTGCTTTTTTCTGACTATATCTCCAAAACAACAGGACCTGCCTCTATTTAAATCCACATATACTTTATTTCTTGGTAATAAAAATTCAATCAAAAACGGTTCAGTCGTAATCGTGTATAACATTTCTAGGACCACAGTCTAAAATAATGCCACACAATTGCCACAAGTTTTCAAAAATTTAGACTTTTTGTTGAACTATGAACTTAAAATTTCTAAAATCAATCGACTTTAAGAGGTCCTCCTTGAAATAAAATACACTGAAGTATGTTGGCTAGTTTCATCAAAAGTTAACGCATCTAATCAGGATTGCAAAATAGTGAAATATTTGAAAGTTCCACAATAAAAAATAAAAACCAAAAATACTTTACATTATAAATACTTAATTTTCCACCAATTATAAAATTTTTGACAAATAACCATCAAAGCGAAATTCGAAGCCAGTAATTATATTTTCGATATCCAGTTAAGATGTATAAATATATAATACATGTTTTTTTCATAGTTCTAATAATAATACATGGCAATAAGTCGAATCGGGCAGACGGCAGAAATTGTCTAGCCGCTCGACTTTTAAAATACGATACGTTTCGTTTTGAAAGAAAAATGAATAATTGAAACTAAATACATGTCTCGATCGGATCATTATTATTTTGTACGATACACGACGAAGACATTTGATCTTTTTTGTAATAGAAATATTTTATGGAATATAAAATTAAAGTCGGAGACAAAATTAGATCCATACACTGAGGGTACAAAAATCTACTAAACTAGTGGTGTATGGCATAGTGCCTTGAGGCAAATTTCTGGAGCTTCCCATACCGTAACGAAATGATCGAGAAATTTTAAACGTTTTCAAATATATTATTACAAATACTGTAACTTTCATTATTTTTGCTATCTTGTTATATCTGAACAAATCAAATGTAAATCATAATTCAATTTATCTCCTCCAGAACATTAACAATCGTCCGTTATTTCATTTCGAATTCAATTTAAAAAAAAAAATAGTTGCCTAATTTAGACAAAATTGAATCGGATGCTCCATTCTCTCAAAAATTCGATTTTTGTTTTCCTCACTCTTTGCTCTTTATCTCCGTAACTGCTGGACATGCCCTTTGCCAAAAACTAATCAGCACATCTCCCTATCAATAGGATTGAATGTTTTTTAAATGATTCAAATCGGTTGATCCGTGCGCCCGAAAACGTCCATTTTTTCTGAGGTATGCCAAAATGTTCAGAAACCTTCAAAACGTCGAGAAATGCAAAAATTTTTATTTTCGATTTTCGGCCCATAACTACCCTACCGAAATTTAAAAATCTAAAAAGATTATAATAAGTATCTTATAAGGGTCTAGTATGTAGGTTATAAGAATTTGGTTAAAATTTTATGAAAAGGACCTAACAAGTACCTGATAAGAATAAATTAATAATGCTAATTCCCTCTTATGTATGAATATAAAGGTTTTTGAATCGGCTCCAAAATATTCCATTTAATAAAAACTCAAAATCAAAAAATAAAGCTCTTATCACTAGGTTTTTTTTTTGTTTCAAAGTTTTTATTTTTTAAATATATTTTTTAAACTTGTGCTAGTGACTTTATTCAAATTTTGTAAATACGGTATTGAAATTTTCAGTTTTATTTATATGTGTCTGTATATGATATTTCAATAAAACTATTAAATGTAGTTGTGCACATGGTGCTAACTATGAAGCACTTCAGTAGTTTGAAAATGCAATTTAAGGGTGGCAGTCTGTGCGCCGAGGGTGGATTCATAGCACTGATGGCAAATTCCAATTGAACTAATATTTAGCTAACTAAATACTCATTGGATACACATTTTTTGTTGAAATTAAAAAAAGTATTTTTGCTCGTACAACTGTCGATTAAAATTGAGTAACATTCTAAAAGTTTATTTAACTAGTGGTGTATGGCATCGTGCTTTAAGGCAAATTGTTGTAACTACCTCAATAAAATATTTGAGGAATTTTGAATATTTTTAAATGGATCATTATAAATTGTGTAATATTCATTATTTTTGGTTTTATTTCTAATTCAATTTAAAAAAATAGTTTACTTTAGTTTAATTAATAATTTACACAAAATTGCAAAAGTGCTCCCGTATAGTCACAGTCTAAACGCACTTGCAAAAACATTTGTACCAGGTTGTCACTTAGACTGTGCTTAGCCTTGGTAATTTTTTGAAAATTTTAACCCAAAATTGCATTTCTATAATTTCTATATTTATTTATTGTTAATTAAAAAAATGAAAAATAAAAAAAATGAACCTTTGAAATAAAAAAAATTGCTTTTCCCAAAAATTAATTGTTTCTTTTCACTGTCAACACAAACAAAATTTTTATTTGAATCATTGCAATCGGATGCTTAGTTCTCTCAAAAATTACATTTTTTGCGAATTTAGCTCTAAATCTCCAAAACAGCTGGACCTGTCTTTGCTAAAAACTAATCACTACTTTTACTCATCATTACGAATTGAATGTTTTTCGAATCATTTAAATCGGATGCTCC